CAACCGAGCCAGGGAAGAACGGGGCCGGAGCTGCGGGTGACGCGGCGGGTGACCGGACGGGGACAAGGACACCGGCGTCCCCAGCCCGGCTCAGTCGAGCTTCACACTTGCCTCTGAGAAGCGGGCACAACACCTCTTCTTCTGATTTTCCGCTCTGTCACCTTCGTGCCTTCCGAGGGCTCCAGAGCCATTTAACAATTAAGGCGATCAGGCAGCGGTTAAACCACCCACACCACGAGGATGCTGCCGGAAGTCCCGCCCCCGCGAGGCGCGCACGTCGGAAATCGTCTCTCTGCTAAGTCGTCATTGGCTCATTGAGACGGCGAAGCCTGCCGCACTTCATTCTGGGTAATGTAGTTTCCACATGGCAACCGGCACCGGGAAGATTCTTCCCAACTTTTTGGATAAGGTACCAGGGAGGACATGAGAGGTGCAGGGAAATGGAGTTCCTTGGCTCCAAGCGGGGTGGGGCTTCGCTAACTCATAAAGGGAATACGCCCAGCGTTTCTTCCAGTGCGGTATAGGACACTTAACGGAAACGTTTAGAGACCTATTATTTCAGACGCTGTAAAGAGCAGCAACCTAAAAAAGGCTACACATATCGGCAACACACCATACCATCCTATCACTCGGCGTACACTCGTAGCTGCCGAGTATCTTGTTGTCTGATGTTTGAAATATTGAAGACTGAAATACTGGAGCCATTTTTATAAGCTTCAGTAGATTCGGTCAGTAACAATAAGGAACGACTCCTGACAGAATCGTGACGAGTAATTTGGTAGAGAATTTGGAAGGTGCGGAACTGAAGTAGCTAGAAAAAGTGAAGTATTTCTCCGGATCCCTGAAAAAAACTTTTTTCCTACCTGTATAGTCAGTGTTGGTGTTGCAAGCTAATGAACAACATTTTTATTCAGATACTATTTTTAAATCAATATCCGAGATATTTTCCATTTCCTTTAGAACCTGAAACCTACCTGAAAAGAAGAGAGACTTATCATATGCCATACCTGCCAGGACGGTGTGTGCCCTTCTGACAAAATATGCGTGCAAACGAACATCTTCTCTTGGAGATAATGGTTTGGAAATAAATGATCTCATCTTCTTGCTGGGAAGTGATTTATCATTTCACCTACAATTGCCGCCACAGTAACTACAGGGGTAGCTGAGATGATCTCTAAAAAATAGGCATAAAATGGAAATTACTGAAAGCTATTAATACATTATATAGTAGTCGAAAAAAGTTGGCAGAAATAGTTCTAGAGAAACGTATGTGACTGGTGAATAAACTTAAAATCTCAGTGAAGTTTGAGAAAACAGCACTGAGAAGTGGTTGAATGAAGCTGAGCCTGTGGCTACGCCAGAAACATGGCCACACTCAGAGTCTGGCCTCTAAAATGTGATTCTTTTTCTTACTGGAACATATTGCCTAACAAGTTGCAGAGAAATGTAAAGTCAGTATTTAAAAAGAATTTCCAGAAAAATAGAAATGAGTAGGGAAGGTTTGCTGTCAGGTGTATTTACTACACTAACAAATTTTCAAAAAGAACTTATTGGATTTGGGGCACACTAGGAGGTTTATGGGATACACCAGGTGCCTGCTGTTCTGTGTATAAAGCTTATGTAACCGGTGTTGTATTGGTTTGTTAGAACACCTGAAATATCTTATATTCACTTTTTGCAATATATTACAAAAAGACATCAGTTAGAACTATCTTCCTCTCACTTTCCAGTCACTCAGTAGCAACGTTATATCCCCAGAAATAAGATCTGGACAATGCCTGTGGTTTCTCCTGCAGGTCGGGATAAGAGAGGAAGAAAAGTTGGTACTGAGAATTAAAGTGCTCATTTTCACATTCAAGAGAAGAATAGACTTTTCTGTGTCTAAAGCCCAAATTGCAAACAAGTAACCTCCGTTTATTAGTGTTAGCTTCTGATGAAGACATATGCTCTGAAACTCAGCCAATCAACAGCCTAACTTCTGTAACTAAGTTTTAAAATTTAGCAAATCAGTCCTAGAACCAGGTTTCTAAAATTCAGACGATTAGTCATAAGCCCCATCCCTGCTACTGAAAATTAGCCAATCAACAGTAGTGAGCACACTCACACACTTGAAAATCCATATATCCTTCTGAGATAGTCCCTGAATGCCACATTTGGCAAAAGCTAATATGATAGAGCTCTGACTGTCTGAGGAGACTTCCTAAACCTACAGCTCTGCCTTGCAGGCAAACAGAACATTCACCTTTATTTACTTGTTTATTTAGTATCACATAAGAAGTTCAATTAATTGTTAGTTCACAAGTTTGTAACTCTTTCAATATTTTAACCTTTGTTTACATTGGAGTTTGAATCTGTGAATGACAAACTAACACAGAAGTGTGGTTGCAAAATGCAATGTTCTCAATCTTGCAGAAGTTTCTCATATATTTTGTGTGTATATTGAATTCCAAAATTGCCAAAATGCAAGTGTAAATTTTGTGATTAATTTTCTAAAAAATTGGCATTTATTAAATGAGGAATAAAACATTTGAAGATTTTCATGTGGCAGGTAATTGCTCATTCAATATTAAAAATGTGAAAATGTTAATCACTATATACTAACAGTTAAGCCTGACAAATGTACGATTTTTTCCACCAGTACCAACCAGAGTGAGAAAATAACATATTTTTTTTT